CTATACTACCGGTTCTTTTTAATCCAGAATCATTCTTTACTTTCAACATGTTCAAATTGAGTCATATTTAAAAATTTAGGGTAGTATAAATATTTCTTAACTCTTTATTCATTAACATTGTAGTGTTCATTATTGAAAATAAAATTGGTGACAATTCTAAGCATACTGTTAAAAATTCCCGTGAACTATTTTTTAGCTTCAAGACCAAAAAATTAGAAAAAAGGTAAAAAAAGAAACACTTTTAGAAAGAAATCCAAAAATTGCAATACTAGAAGATAATAAACACTGAGAGACGGTTAACTCCTTTGCAAACGCCAGCAAACATTAGTGTGTAAAATAGTTAAGCTTCTATGTCACAATATCCTCTGTTTGGGGTGTAAAGTTTTCGGGTAAACATCTTCCCCTTCAAAAGAAAAACCAATGCTTAAAGTAATTAGTATTTCGTCTTTTAAAAGTCAGAGAAAAAGAAGGAAAAGAAAAGTCAGTGTCAGCAACATGACTTCTATCTCTCATATCACAAATCAAGAAGTAAAAGTTATCTTGGCAACAAATTTCTGTATCAATAAATTACTTGGCATTTGTCGTCATTAAACTTTCCTCATCTTAACAGTTCCATTATTTCTGTGGAGTTCATTGTCGATGGTAAGAAGTGAAAGTGCAAAATAAGCGAGAAACACACAAAAAGGTTATACAATAGGTGTGTTATTTGGCAACAGTAATAATGCAGTAGGTAGCAACAACAAAAATAATACTAATACTAATAATAAATAAATAAATAAATAAAAAGAAGAAATAAACTACCGTTAGGGTAATAATTTAAATCAAAAAAAGACAGCAAAAAGAGCAACAAAAAAAAGTAGATTCATAATGTTGAAGTGATCAAGCAGATGTTTTGCTGGAAAAAAATTACATCCCATAACCTTGAATGGTCATACCCTATGAATCTACTTCCATCTTTTTGAATCACAAAAAAAGCATTATTTGTACTTTCATTAAAAATAAAAATTTAAAAAAAGAAATGATTAGAAAACAAAATATGTGGCAACAAAAAAAAAAAAACAACTCAGAAATGCATTCAATCACTGATAAAACAGCTATTAATAGTTTTCTGTTTGTCCAGTGACGAACGAAAGTCAAAAATACCCCCCCTTCCAGGGAACAGGAAGAACTTTTAACACTGCAATTAGCATCTAAGTAAACTAAGACCTATTAGACTGTTCTTAGCTGATAATCAAATCTTTTCTAACATTGATTAGTTACCAAGTGGAACTTTAATTGCTTCCGTTTGTTTGGCCCTTTTTCAGAATCAGAAATTCGACGTCAGAAAGCTGCTGTGGTTAAAAACGGTCAAAAACCCACACAGATGTTCGACTGCTAATTTATCGACAGTATTCCTTTTTATTGCTCCGTTTTTTTTTGCTCAAAAATGTAGATAAATTGAACATTTACAGCAGTTGACCAATGTAATTTAAACCACTGAAAACAGTTTGGTATAGTGATCTATAAACAATTTCTTGGGACTTAAAAAAGGACTAAAACTTCTTCTTTGCCTTTTCCCTATGCAAACAAGTAAGTCAATATACCATACCAAAGAAAAAAACTAAAGATTGAAAAATTTAAACAAATGATATTCCTTGCAAAAAAAAAAGAAAAAATGCTATATAAACTTTAAAAGAAGAACATTAAATTGCTAGTTTAAGGCTTTAAACCAGAGCTAGAATAAAAAAAGAAAGGATCATCTTTAATTATCGTTAAGGCGAAAATTTACCAAGTAATTTAATATCATATGATATAGTTCATTTGTTCTCATTCAATTTACTGCTTTTACCAACAGTCTGAACTGAATTAATTTATAACTGAAAGAAATAAAACTATTTGGGAAATTGAAAAAAAGTAACAAAAATTCTTTTCACCGTCTAACTAACCACTGTTTACAAAAAAATGGTGACATTTTTGTTCGCTCAGCGGTAGCAATAGCTGCAGCTGTTGCACGAGCAGAAGCACCTGCAGAACTACTGAAATAACAGATCAACTGAAGACCAAATTAAAACTGAACAGGTAAAAAATAACACAGGTATTCGGAAGAAGAACAATGTATCTGATTCGTTACACCTATCTGTGCAATATTTTGATTGATATGTAATCGTTGAACAGTATGCATTGACCTCCCCTCAGAACAATGAATTTATAACCGTATTCAGCAGCAAATTTCATCTCCCGTTTCTTCAGCAAAACAGGGTCACCAAAAAATGAACTTTAAATGGTCTGCTTAAATGGTTCACAACTTGAAACAATTACACTGTCATAGATTTCCTCATTAATTCAACTGCTGTTCCACTGATAACCAAGAAGGTCGTTTACAAAACCTTAAAACAGTGATAGTATTTGATCACTGTCAAGAGAAAAAAACCGTCGTTAAACAGATCTAAAAAACTTCCATTTACACTCCTAACCTACTATGATTGTAAAAAGAGTCTATAGATTGCTTTTTAACTCAACAAAAAGCATTTATCCTTTTTTCCACGTTTCTTTCTCATCGCAGAAATTGCAGTTACGACAAGTTCATTAATATGGCACAAGAATAACGATAAGTAAAGAGAAGCAAATAAAAAGAGAAAAAAACATGAAAAATTCAGAAGAGCGATGCTGAACCAGAAGTAATATTAGATAAAACATCAATAAAATACACTAAAATGTTCCACGTTTTAATCACATGTAAGCAAAAAAAAATGGTACTTTATTTACAGTTTTTCTCCAAGTTAAAAGATGAGACGACTTTACAAATACACCATCGTTTTAAAATATTTGTTTCTTTTTTTTCTTCTCCGTTCAATTCAATTTTTAAGCCACTATTTATATATTGCTTTTTCCTCCTATGTGAAAACTAAAACTTTTAAACTGCATTAAGTATATACTATAGGTCACAGATAAACTAAAATAAAGAGGTTAATAGAAAGTATAATCACACCAAAAAAAACCCGGAAATTTTTAGCTTTTTAACCCCGTAAACTTTGTAACAATTATTATTAAAAAAAGAAAATTTAAAGTGAAAAAAAAAACACACTGTTTTAACCCCCTAAAATTTATGTTGGGGAATGAATAACCAAGAAGAACAACTGTCAATTTGATGAGTGCAGTGAAAACAAATGTTGTTGATTTTGACACCACATGGGTGATGGAGATGGTGATGGCGATGCTGATGACGACGATGACGACTACGACGGCGACGACGGTGACGGTGCTGCTGATGGCTCTGAGCTTGTGGTCACACTGTGGTCACAGATGACCGCTACGTTTCTGTTCCAAGGCTACCAAATCAATGTCGTTAGCTAACCGCCGTCGCCTCCACCAACATCATCACCACCAAATGATCAGTAATCACATCTCTATCTTTTAGAACAGTCTGTCTATCCTATTTTCAACAACAATAACAGCAGACAGATTCAACTCAGCAAACCGTTGATTCTTTCACTGTTGCTATACCAAAACAAACATTACCGTTCAGAGCAGCGGCAGCACCATCATCATCATCATCATCATCATCCCTTTAATTTTTTTTTAACTATGTACCTTGAGAGAAAAATTTAAAAGAAAAAATAAAAATAAATATGCTCTATTTATGCACCTTATATATATATATGCTAGTTTATTTATTCATTTATATTTATATCTACTTTTATTTAGCCACTTACATTACGTTCATATAATAAAATTATTACACGTAACTTCCCGTAGAAATAAATGAACTGATTCAATTGGTAAGCAAAGCCACATACGTTCATAAACTTTCCGAACCTAGAAAAAAAGTGACATTCAAATTGAAAATAAAGGTAAAAAGCGAAGAAAAAAAAGGATGATGTCATTAGTTGGTATAATATCAACAAACAGTGCTAATAATGAATAGTGCACAGTAAATATTTAATGATTAATTTACATTTAAAAAAGACCTTTTCTACTTATACCATAGCAGAAATTTAAA